CCCTCATGCTGTAGTACATACCCTACAAAGGTGCAGGACAGGGAGCAAGAGAAGACAAAGCTAATGGGTATGTATAGCTCCAAATAAAATCTACAGCCTCTGATCCATCTCTGGCCCCTGACTTCCAGCTCATTAAAGCAACTCCCTGAATTTCTCTGCACCTCCCTTCCCTCAGTGGAAGTTAGGGCTATTTCTCCTGTGCCCTCTCTATCCTTTTTCACTAAAAATGTAAGTAAGTTCCTTAAGGCCATCATTTGTGCATTGTGGCATCCAGCATCACCTGCAGGTTTTACAGCCTGGTAAGGTGAAATAGTGGGCATGAACCAAGTGACTGAAGCAATGAGACCTCCCAACTGTAGTATCTAACCCCCGTAGTGATGAGACATTTGTGGCCAAAGAGCACAGCTGCTTTTAGGAATGAGGCTGGGTCACAAGGGGAGTATTTAAAATGCCTGGAGAGAGGAAACCTGTATCGTCCTCTTCTGAAAGCCTTCTTGCAGGACAGTCCTGGTGGCCTTGGCTATGAAGTCATGGCTTTCGTTTTCCTACCTACGGATTAGTCAGGGAAGCAAATAGAAGCCAAATTAGGAATGAAAAGTCCTGTTTGCCAGGTTCCTGCTCGGAGTGAGAGAGGCAGCAGAGGTGCTGTGCAGCAGGATGCTGCCTGGGATGCAGGACTGATCCCACCTCCTCCCTCCCCACCTGCAGCCCAGGGCTGCAGCACAGCTGGAGATCTGCTGTGGGCTGGAGATGCCTTTGAAACCCTGTCCTCACAGCTCGAGTCTCCTACCTTTGTGGTGAGGGACTGTGTCCTGGCTTGTCCTTGCTCAGTGATCCTTAATCTCTTGCGTCTTTTAATTAGGGCAATTTCTTTTGGCCTGCTGGAAATGCTTTTCTGGTGTAGATTAATTAAAAGTAAAGCCTAGCTCTGACAATTTAATGTGCTGTGAGCTCTGGTCAGGATGCAGGCGCTCCTCAAAATGATTATTCATGACTCCACTCTTGCTTCTTATTTACTTTGAAACCATGTTTTGTGGGAACTGGGGAGAGCAATCGTTAGTCATTCTCTGTAAATTTACAGGCAGGATTAGTCCATCTGTGAAAGCAAAGCTGAGTATGGAACATCACCTCCACCCCGGGGGCTGCAAAGCCCATCCCACACTGCTGAGAGCAGTGGCATGATGTCAGATGCCCTCCAGCAGCTCCTTTGTTTCAGGACCTCTAGGCAGTGGGGGTTCCAGGCTTAAAACCTGGAACTTCTGCTACTTCAAGTCATGTTAAAGCTTTCTGCTGTTTGCTCTTTTTCTGTTAGCAGCAGCTGACTGGTTTAATCTTTGCAAGGCATGAAACAGTTGGCTAAAAACTTGGCCAGACAATAAATCAATATTGTCTGGGTAATGGCTTTGTTCTGATCCTCCCCAGGGTTTGTATTTAAAGCCGACCTTGACTGGCCTGTGGGATTTGCAGAATTAGGACTATCTCTTGAAGAATATTCACCCTTGTGTGAATCGCTTCAGGTTAACTTCATCTTTGTCTGACCCTTCTCTAATAACACGTTTCCCATAAAAAGCTATAATCCTGTATTTACAAAGAATTTGGGGCAAGTTCCATTTCTTGTATTTCAAAGAAGTCAAAAGTAGGAGCCGTTACAGTCAGGATCGAATCTAACTCAGCAGGTGGGTTGATGTGACACTGACCTGCCATGAGGTGCCACTGGTGATGGGCACGTGTCAGGTCTAATGAAGTCTGAGACTCACCTACTTTGATTTCTCTTCTTCAAACTCTCTTAGCTCTCTCAGGCATCTTTTATTAGGGCTTCTTAATTTTAATTTATTATAAAGAGAGCTTGGAGAATCAACCATGAATTTCACATCGTTTCCGCCCATAGCACATTAATACGTAGCGTGCAGCTTCCTTGGGTGTGTTCCTGGGACCAGATGAGAAAAACACTCTGATGAAGAGGGATTTTGCTTGTCATGAATATTTATAGAAGAAGTCTCCATGCCTTGATATTTCCTGGAATGTAAATGCAAAAGCGGAGGAAGCAGACTTTTTTTTTTAACCATATTTTTTTATATGTCTTTTAGCCTGCTTTTGAAGCCCTAGAAAACATTTCGCTCTTTCATAGCAGATTCCTGAATGCAGAGCAGCATGTTAACGAGCTGTGGCAGGACTGCACTGCTTTACCTATGCAGAAACTAGGAATGTAACTGCAAAAGTGGAGGAAGCAGACTTTTTTTTTTAATTGTATTTTTTTTATATGTCTTTTAGCCTACTTTTGAAGCCCTAGAAAACATTTCGCTCTTTCATAGCAGATTCCTGAATGCAGAGCAGCATGTTAACGAGCTGTGGCAGGACTGCACTGCTTTACCTATGCAGAAACTACAAGGGCAGCTGGCAGTAACTGCCGGGGCATGGCTGTGCCTACTCCTCAGCCCATGTAACTCAGCAAAGCTATTCACAGGACGGTGTTATTTGTCCTATTGATTGCAATATTCAGCATCAGGAGAACATCCCTGTTGGCATTGTTGGTCTTTAGGACAGGGCTTTTGCTGAGCTTCACTTAAGTGTGCAAAACAAGCGTGTTGTAGCATTTCCACTTGACTTTCTTGGGTGACTTCGCATGCAACACTGTTGGAAATGGAAATGATGGTGGTTATTGTATGTTCTGCCTAGAATAATTCTGCTTAAACTCCTAAGGGATGCTGAGGGCTGGTTAGCTCAGTCGGTTGAGCGTAAGCTGATACCACCAAGGTCGTGGGTTCGATGCCCGTTCAGTCCCCATTTGTTGCCTGATCTAGTTGAGAGGTGTCCCTGCCCATGACAGGGAGGTTGGATTGGATGATCTCTAAGGTCCCTTCCAGCCTAGGCCAGTCTATGATTCTATGAAAACACTGAATGAGAAGGGTAAAGCAATTCTTCTGTCAAGAGCCAGGTGTAGAGCTGTAAAGAAATACATTTTTAAGACAATGCTGTGGCAACACAGCTGGTTTTCAAAATCAAAAAAATGTTTTACAAAGTGGCTGAAAACGGCGTGGGGAAAAGCAGTATTGCCATGAAAGATATTTGACTGCACACCCAGTACCAGCGCTATGTTTGCCTGAAGCCAGCTGAGCTGAATTTCCATTCTTAGAAGGTGATTTTACAAACACATTAATAAGGATGTAATATTTTCAAATTAAGCCCCACAAATAAGGAGTCATTTTGGCAGGCTATAGTTGGTCTCAGTTTTATTATTCCTTTTTAAATGTATTTTGGCTTTAAATTTTGGGGTTTTGACTCTTTCAGGCTTTAGAATTCGTATGGCAAAATTGCTTTGTATAATGATTTCATTATTCACACTTCACAGAAAAGAAAAAATTGTCCAGATATTGGAAAGTCAAAAGATCAGGCAAATATTTCACTCTGTGTACAACAAAATATTATGAGGTAATTTTATTTTTTCCCATTTTTAGGTAAAAATATTACAGTATACAAGATAATCTTATTAAAGGTAAAAATACAGTATTTTGCTTTTTCTCTAAACAGATCTACATACAGTACACTTTTTTATTTTGTTTTCTCTTTTTTTGTACAAATATAACTATTATTCTATTAGGTTATCTGTATTCTCATCTGGCACTTAAGAACTGATCACAGGTCACCTTCTGGTTCTGTTTGTTTTCCTCAGCTGATACTTAAATGTAATGCTCATCTTATAGCCGTCCCTTGTAAACAAACAGCACAGTTCAGTGGTTCCCAAGTAGGAAGGTGTGCTTTAAGTAGTTGAAATCATGTAGCTGGATGTAAAAACCCAAGCCATCCAGGTTTGCAGTCGTGTTGCACGGACTCATCGCTTTCCAGTTGTAAAAGTGCAATCCAAGTACTTGCACTGGAGTCTTTAAAAAAGTTTTAATCCCTTCCTTGTTCTCTGTAAGAACCAAACACATAAGATAATAATTTCTACATTGATTTTTCTTTTATTTCCTTTTATTTATTCCCCCACCCCCCCCGGAATGTTCTCGGTGGAATTGAAGCCTTTTCATATTGGTTTAAAGGTTTGAAACTATTGGGCTTTGTTCTTCGTGATTTGTCTCACCCTATGGCTTGCTGTTTGACCTCTGAAACCTGAAAGCTGAGCTCAATTGCATCACGGTCGCTGGATTAATGTTGTTCCTTGAATTGAACACTTTAACACAATACATGTTATTTCTGGGTACTCCTGGGAAGTGAGTTTCTCATCGTGATCAGTATTTCAGCACACTTGTCGAAGCTGGGTTTGTCATAGGATAGGAGAGGTTAGATGTGTACAAGGAGACCATATCCATTAGAGGACTAGTGAATATAGCTGGAAAAGGCAAACAGGAGTTTTTGGCTGGGGATCCTTTTATCAGGTTCTAGCAGAGGGGTGAAAGGATGCTTTACCCAACAAGCTTGATCCGTTTTTTCCCAGTGTTGTCATCTGGTTTTAAACGTAGATGATCTCTACCTGCCATATGTTGCCTTGGTTATTTCAGCAGACGATCTCTCATTTGCTTTTCATTAACCACAGCGCTGCTCAAAGTTATCTTCATGGATGGCCGTGTAAACGTAAAAGGAGAATACACACCCAAGGATAGGAATTTTTTAAAAATTTCAAGGAATATGCTTGGCACATTTTTTCTTCAAACTTCACCCAATTCTGATCAGTAAAGTCCCAGCTGGCATAAATGAGCACAGTTGCATTGTCTTCATGAGAGTCAGATGGGTGAAGATCTGGCTTTTTTGCCTTTAACTAGAGGCCATCTATTTCTGACATCAAAGGGCATATATTTTTACCAGTAAGTCACTTTTGTATCATAAAACATTTAACCGGTAACTCACCAAGCACGGGAGTAATGCAAAGTGCTCCTAACAACACCTGCTAGTTAGCAAAAGTTGAGTGTGCGGTACCCATCTTTCACATGGTTTTTGCCCTCCTAAGATGCTGGTTGAGACTGAATAATGTTTAGAAAATCAGTTGTCTTTCTCTATGTTCACCATCAAATGTCCTTATTTAAGTTCTTCCCAAATTTGTCACTCAGCTGCTGTATTAGTTTTGCCAGCTCACCAGTAGCTTGTGACTTTTCCTCTAACAGTTCATAGCGGAGACTAGAAATATCTTGCTTAATCTCCTTAAGTTCTCCTAAAAGGAAGAAAATGTTCTTGTTAGTGATATTGAACCAAATTAATAATCTCTGTGGTTTTAAGACCTGAGAGAGCACTAATTTTGTGTGCTTGTTCATGAGTGTGTTCATGAGCTCCATATGGTGTCCTAGCATTTATGCACTTAATATTCATACTTGTAAGAAATAACCTGTACTTGCAGTAGTGGTACTGACAGCAACAGCAAGTATGTTTGGAAAGTTCTTTTTTTTCCTCAAGTCTTTTCTCTCTCCACATATTTGACCTCCACATACATAGGGCACTTGAAGGAGATTCTTTTCCATCTGCATACAAATCCTACGTGACACCACGGCAATACAAGTCCTTACCTAGTTCAAGCAAAGGTCCTTGGGCTATGGTCATTACAGTCAGAAATTGCTTCACTGAGGCACCAAAATAAGTTTGGATATTGGCAATTCCCTGCATGTTATAAACCAAGGAGAGGTAGAACTATGGGGCAGAGAAGGACTATGTGAAGATCTTATGTGTGTTCTGCTGAGGAAAATGAAGGACCCAGAATTTCAAGAGCATAAGGGTGGCTCAGGGTCACCATTGCTGACCCTAGTGTAAGCATGAGCATGCTATCTCTCTGCACACACTGTTATCTAAGCTCTATCCTCTTACTGGCCATATCAGTAGCAATAACATTATGTGCTCTGGTCTGTGTCAATTACAAAAATCCACTTGCCTTCATTGACCTCGTCATTTTCTCGGTCAACCTGAGCCTTCAGTACATACCGCTTAATCAGACGCTTCATTATTTTCTGAAAGGAGAACAGAAACACTTAATGTGAGTATATCCATGTTGCCTTAATTCTAGACTTATTATGAGCAATTTAAACACCTGATTTCATTATGGATAAACCTGGCTTCAGAGGATGCAAAGAGAATTTATTCAATTGACTTTCCATTTATTTTATTCTTTATAGTATGAACTTTGTACTACCATACTTGATCAACAGCCATTCCATAATGAGCCCACATATGAGACACTTTGGTGTATTTTGTGGAAAGCACGTGAATTTAGAGTATGTCCCACTGACAGGAAGAAAACACATGATCTAATAGCAAGTTTAGAAATGGGATCCAGAGCCTACCTTTAGCATGTTGCTGTTTAATTTATTAATAAAAAATACTTTACATGAAAAAATAAGTGGTTAATCCATCATGTTAGCAAACTCACTCATGATCAACTGAACATCTGACCCAAGGTTAACAGAAAGACTTTTGAAATTGGGGTTTTAGGAGAAGGAAAAGATAATCAAGGGCAGAGAAAAGAGAGCTTAAAGAGAACTGGAGAATTGGGCTTAACTGAGAGAGAAGTTTCTCAGGGAAATGGTAGATACTAAGGGACATGCATGGGGGAAAAATAGAGCCATGTAGATTTATAAAATGGGAGACAATTGTTAGTAAGGAAAAGTGCATATGGAAATAGTTGAAGATGGGTATGGATATGAGCTTGCAATGTGATATTGTTCGAAAAATGCATAAGTTGCATTTATCCTGGGCTACACACTGGGTTACAGCTGAAGGCCTGAGTCATTGCCAGTTTGTCACTGCAGGATAGACGTTAATGAGGAACAAAAATCTCAACTGTGATAAACTTAAAAAGGATTGCTCTGTCAGAGATGTTGATTTAGACGCATCCTCTGCAAACAGAGGAAAGCTCAGTGAACAGCCGAGAACAGATACACAAAAGTTTTATGTTGACCTGATGGTCACCATGAGGGGAAAAGCCTCTCCCAGCAAGGGTTCACCTATTCACAGCGCAATCACATGTCCCTGCTTTGAATAGCGCTGAAAAATGCCCTGAGGAGTGTGAAATGTGAACTGAGAAATCAGTACGCCCACTTTGTTTTTCTAAGTAGTCGGATATGGATTACAGCAGTGCAAGAGGCATGTGAATATCAAAGATATGTCATGCAGTCATGAAATATGGGATGTCTAAGACTGTCCTTGTGTCAGAGGCATCTGGCTAACCAGGTGAGTCACTAAAGCCACAGAGATGAGGCACAGCGCACGCACGGTGTGTTGAAGGTGGCCAAGGTAGTAGAATCCAGAGGGAGGTAGGGTTGTCACCTGAGAAAACATAAATGGGGAAAGTAGGGAAATCCTGGATCCAGAAAGAAATTATTTTCTTTTCAGAACAGACAACAGTGGAAATTTAGACTAAAACAAGGAATCAACACATAGTGATTTCACTTGTCACCTGAAAAAATAATATGTATTACAACATCTATCTACTCCAGTTCCCAAGTCAGCATCTATTTTTGATGGGCACTATTCAAATGCTATCAAATGCTTTATTAACCGCTATGTGTAGTAGAAGTCACAAGTCTAAGGCTCCCAAGTCTATCAGGTATATGTTGTACTCAGATATGTCTACAGAAACTAATTATTAAAAATGTGACCATTTTTTAACAAGCATCTACTTAGCCAGTTAGTAGATATTTCTGCCAATAGCTTGAGGAAAGCAATTAATTTTTGCCTCAGTATTGCACTGTGGCTTCTAAGCCTTGCTTCTCTTCTCCCCTTCTCCCCAGCACTGCTCCTTTCAGCTACAATGAATGAAATAGCCTCTTGGCAAAATAATCTTTGCAGGGAAATGCTGAGCAAAACTTACAGACAGCCTCTTGGTAATGGGTGCTATACCTGAAACAGTTCAAATACATCTGACTTCTATGAAGTACTGTTCCCCCATTCTCTAAAAGTTAATTGAAATTCTTCAGGTCTTAGAGAGCTTTTATACTATGCAATATTAAGGTGTTGAGTGTTGGCTTTAAGGAGGTTCCTTCTAGGAACAGGTCAGGAATTTGTAAATTATAAGTGTGCACTGAATTCAATTTTCTTGATGTATTTATCGGCACAACCTTCAAGCTCTGCTTTTGCCATCAGCTATCTGAACACCTTCTGTACCTTCTAGAGCAGAGGGAAATGAGAAGAAAAGCACAGATTTGTGGCCCAGTGGAATTGTTTAGAAAGGAGCTGGAGCAACCTGATCTAGTGGGAGGTGTCCCTACCCATGGCAAGGGGTTTGGGACTAAATGATCTTTAAGGTCCCTTCCAACCCAAACCATCCTATGATTTCTGAACCATATTACATTGCAGGTTTATCTTGGCAGGACAAGTCACTGCCAGGAAAAGCACATGCAAATGTTAACGCGAAGGCTGCAGAGATGACTCTATGTGATGACAAATGAAATGCTGTCAATGCAGGAATGGACGATTAAAGCTTGGATGATATTTCCTGTATTTGAATGCCCTTGAGTGGAATTAATTAGCATGGTAAATACCAACACCATGTGCATTTCCATGGGTGATGGGCTACGTTTTTCTCTGAAGTGTCCCAGTACCGTGCGTGTGCCAAGCTACAGCCTGGCATGTCACAGGATGACATCAAGGGGAAGAAAGAAAACCTAACCCTTGCAGGTAAGAGCTATTTGCAAACAGATCTCTTCCCTGGCTCTTGTTTTCATGCCGTGATTACCTGATATCTTGTGGGCTTGTTATAAGCGTTCTTCCCAGAAAAAATTTCAGTATTTCGAGTGCTAGAGTGAAAACGAACTTTCTGAAATTATAAAACATCATGATACAATTAAATCAATGATAGCTTCTCACACCCAGACAGCCCCAAACTAAACAGAGCTTTATAAAAACGGTAGGAAATGGTTTCAGTATATGAGTAGAATGAAAGCCAGCACATTCAATTCTAAAAAAGTAAATTTCTGAAAGACAGAAAAGGGTCAAACCTCACAAATTGTTGAAAAAAAAAAAAGGATTCCAAATTGTCTAGATAGAAATCATATTCTCACACAAATTTTAGATAAGAAAGTGTTAAGAGGCACAAAATATGTTAATCTAAACTAGATTGAAGATTACCAATTTAGAACACAGTTTAAGAAAGGGAGAAAATGCTTATATCTAAAGAGAACAAATCAATGTGGTATAAAAACAAATTCTGAAACAGAATGGATTTTCATCAGTCCTTTTAAAACAGCAGTACCACTTGCTACTTTCTTAGCTTGACAAAAATATGAAGTGTTTTTTAGATACAGCAATATTTTTTATCAGAGGACATCACAGCTAGTAATTTTGCACTCTGGAAGCTTCCAAGGATACTTTTCTGAAGACTACACCCAACATTTGTAGCAGGTTTCTTTGACTCCACTATCCACTTCTGAATATTTTGGTTCAAGTGCTAATGAAAAAAAAAAATCTCTTTTTAAAAGGAATTAATTCGTATCATAGACCCAAAGAAGCCAATACATATCATAGACCTCTGAACCTATAGACAAGTCTATGTACAGGGAAAGCCCTGGAAAAGGGTTTTTCTTCCCTGACTGGACCAGAGATCCTGAAAAACAGGGGATTTTTACCTTTTTTACTTATTTTTTTAAAAAAATCAGGATGCTGATACTGATTGGGCTACAGCCATCATGTAATTATACTTTTTGTTTCTCATTCATTGGGTATGCCATTGTTTCACTATTTTTAAGATGATCTGTGAACAAAATCAGCAGGCAAGCAAGAAATGGCTGATACTCTTAACCATTTGTGTCAAAGCCATGATGACTATGAACTTTCATGAGTTCCATGGAAAAGGATGATTTCACTAGTGTATTTTGGAAAGGAGGGGCTTAGAGAAAATCTTTTTACTTTGGTTTATGCTTTGAAGGAGAAATTAAATTTCAAACAAATGTTATCTTTTTCAATTGTTATTTGAAATAGCTAACGGACAAACATTCCTTTTATTTCAAGAGCCTCTGAAAGACCCACTGTTCTACTAGTGGGTCTTTCAGTAACCAATAGTAATGTTAAAATGAATTTATTGAGTAAAGTGCCCGCAAGTGTTTGTCTCTCTTGGCAATGCTCACCGTGTTGGGTAGTTAAATTAATTCACAACATGGAGTAGACCCCAGGGATATACTTGTCCCTTCAATTTAGGCTCTGGTAGAGACTGAATGAACATCAAACCTGAGCAGTTCTCTTATGGGAGCACAATCTCCTCCAAGGCTTTGCCTGGAGCCAGATGATTCACCATGAGTTGTACTGCTCAGCTCTTTGCTCCTTCAAGGAGAGCCAAGATACCCAGACGAAGCCCAGAAGCAGGCTGCACGTTACAAAAGCAAATTCTGCAAAAGCTCCTCCTCCTTCTTCTCCTCAGTCTCTCTTATTACAACTTTTCCCTTTTGTTGTAATTTTGTTGCCCCCTTTCACCCTTAAAGCTGGTGATTGACTGCCCACAGCTCAGCTGGAGAGTCCTAGTGTTGCCCATTTCTTCCCTGTCCCGTGCAGTGACACAGAGCTGGGGTTTTAAAGCCTAGATGGATGAGTCTGAGAGCAAGCTGAGGAAATAGTGATGTGCTCTAGAAAGGCTGGCCAGCCTCTCCCCGAGCCACGCCAGCCTCTCACTGCAGCGACTGTAAGAAATAAGAGACAACACATTTCGGAGGCCATTTCTTTTCCCCCAGGAATGGGTTCCTGGTGTTGTTCTCTTGTTTCAAACCCAGTCTGAGCTGAGAAAATTCAGTAAAGGTCAGGACACTTCTAAGCATCTCTTTTTTTTTTTTTTTGGTGACAGCAGCCAAGCAGCTGTGGCCAAGTTCCTGTGAATGTTTTGGATGTTTTCTTCTCCAATGTAGAGCACGTGGACTTGTCGTGCGAGTGAGATTGTATTTCTTAGAAATTTATGTGTTAGTGACGCTCTGCACTATGTTACAGATAATGATTTCCATGGGAAATATAATTTTTTCAAATTTCTCTGGCATTTTCCCACAGGGGAGCAAAGCTAATTCTGCTGGGAAGGATCTGGCTGCATCTCTCTTGCTTTGTCCTGTGGACACTCACTAGCGCTGAGGAAAGCTCCCCACCGTGTAGCCAGTATTTCCAAAGCAAATTTCTGTTTCAGATGACTAAAGGGGTGATGGCTGAGGCAGGATCTACCCATTAGTGGCTACACATCACTAGGCAGACATGAGTAGAGAGGTTGTTAATTATAGTTTTACGTATCTAGGAGGTATTATTAAGCACTGCCTCAAAACTTGTTCCCAAACCTGGAATGGTAGTAAACGTTGTAATGACAGTAAAATTAATGTGGAAATCACTTAAAGGAAGGTGGCTGTTTTGAAAAGGCATAAAGGCTTGTTGGGTAGATGAGGAGTCAGACAAACTGGGATCCTATTTGTACTTCTGCTTCTGACCTTCATCTCTGACCTTGCTTACTTGGCCTTGGGAAACTCCCTTTTGAAATTGCCTACTTTTATAAAAGCTGCTCTTTTCCTGGTGTCCAGACAGTGCCTGGTATAATAAGGCCACAAGTCTGGGAGGATCCTTTAGGTGCAATATTATACAAGTATCATATAATGGTGAGGCTCAGTAAGAGGCTGTGCTGTCCCTGAACTACTTGTGCACCATGAAACCCACCCTCCAAAAGGTTCCTGGTGTGAAACCTTTCTACAAAGATGGCAAAAAGATACAACATACCCGTTGTTTGGAATTCAGCATCCCCATCTCAAGATCATTTTCACAGTTTTTGGCCTTAGATTTGCAGAGTTTTATGAGGCACATTTTTATTCTCAGTATGAGATAATAAAATGATTTAGGGCTTGGCACTAGATTAAAAGGAGCAGGTAAAGTCCTTCCTTCATCAAAGTAGGATAGCCAGAGCTTTGCACGCGCAAACTTCCACTCCACATCTGCATCCTCCTTGGAAAGGGAAGAGGAAAAAACACAAACCCAACATAGTTAGTAAATAGGAAGGAATTTAGCTATGAGGAGGACAAACATACAGGTAGGATTTAACTAGAATCAGCCTGCCAAACTAAGGCACCTGCACGCAACATGTCTTTGTAGGCTTCTCTATGTTAATCTCAAAACAAGGAAAATTTGAACAAAGCAATGGATAAACAGAGTGTGAATGCTCCAAATATTAGACTATCTCCTGTTTTCTTGGATATCAAAGAGGGTGTCTTTCAGTAACAATCTGGTGCTTGTGCTATGCTGATTAAAGCATGTGTCAGAACATATACGGAGTCATGGAAAGCAGAAGAAACTGTTATGTGCACAACAACAGCAAAGGCTGTCTCTGATTAACAGCAGTGCTATCTAACTGCCAGCTGATTTTTATCATTGTCTTTGCCAGGAATCCCCCACAGAAGAGGCTAGGTTGCTGATTTCTACTGTCTTTAGCTGATTTCCTCACGGATCTTGTTTGCATTCACCGTCATGTATCCATAGATCACTGCACCTTAATTCTCTTACTATTCACCTTAGTGGAAGAAGGTGGAGAACAAGTCCATCACTCAGTGGCTGTGAATTGCCTTTATGAACTGTCAAGGTGGGCCAGGATCACTTCCAACTGCAAGGGCAAGGCTAGCACATACTTTATGGATCTACTTGACATCTGTACAGGAGGATGGTCAGGGCCATGTATCAGGACCATTTATCAGGCAAAAAAGAAGATGAGATACAGCTGCTCTGCAGCTGTTTTCATCGTGGTTTATATGGAGACCAGCAACACCAATAGAAGCATGGGCCTGCCAACAACCCGTACTCATGTACATCTGCCTTCTGCTGAAATTAATAACCTCTGATTACCCCGTACCTCTGAAACCCAGTCAAAAACTGGCATAACACAACCGAGATTAATTCTGTCACAGCTACAGCAATATGTCTTTGTCAATGGAGCAACATTCACTTAAGCCATTTGGTCGTCTTTTTGTTTGGTGTTGCACCCCGCAGAAGCCTTAAGCTGAATTATAGGAGGAATCACTTGTGAACAGTTTTAATGTTTTTCTGTTAAGCAGTTAAGAAGATACTGAAGGAAGTAGTTCTGATTTCTGGCTGGCAAAAGGATTTTTTCTTTTCATAAGTGCAAAGTTAACAGGAAGCACTAATACTTAAGGCATAAACAGAGGAAAAACAGAAGTAGCTGAAGAGACATGTTCAGTGGAAAGCATGAGAATATGGTCTCATCACTCCAGCTAATAATAAAACATGTCCCCACTGACCGTAATGGAATTTAATTCCTAAATAATGCCCATCCTCTCTGGTTACTGACATTGCTGTTGTCAAATAAACATACTGGCAAAAGGGACTTTCTCTGCAGTCAGTAGGATGAATCTGTCTTTAATGTTCCAGCTACTGAGGAATGAAAGGATCTTGTATGAGATTTAATGGTTTTCTCCAGTTCTCAAGTAGGAGGGTCTAGGACAAATAGTTCCCACTCGTTTTGCTTGCTGATAGTTACAAGTGCTCTTTAGTAGAATTTCAAAAATTTCCACACAGTCAAGAAGGATGATAAAGCATTTTTGCAGGAAAATGGCCACCAGAAAGTTCAAGCTAGAAAGTTAGTATAGGCTGGCTATTCAGGTATTTTTTAGAGATTTTTCTCTGGAAACTTTCAAGAGCATCTCTACCTACCACAGTAAACTAGAAAATGCAGGGAGAGGCCTTGAGACCCCTTCAGAAGTAAATCTTGTTTCAGTGGAAGAGAATTCAGGGAGATGCTTGACTGTAAGTGATCAGAAACTTTTGGGGAAATGACTCTGCTTTCTGCATGCGTGAAAGCTTCTGGGGCAGAGAACATATGTAAGGTCTCCCTGACATTTAGATTTAGTTATAACATGCACAAGATAGAGCTATATTTGCACGACAGTACATGGATGAATCAGACATTACACTGAGAAAATGTTTTCAACTCTGGCCTTTTGCAGTGTCGGCTTCTGAGGGGAAATTAGAACAAATAATTAATACAAGCCCAACTACAGAAACTTGACATTTAACAAATCAGAAAGAAAAGGTGACTCATCATTAACATTATCCAAATATTTTTTTTGGCCTTTATTTGTATTAGCAGGGAGTTGTTTGTGTCCAAAGCATTTAGCAAATCCAGTCTACTAATAGCAATAGCACCAAATAAGGCTGGATAAACCCTGAAAATACCTTTCTCCATAAACCTTTTCCTACTCTTTGAGGGCTGTGTTCATATCCTTTAAAAGTTGCTTTTTTGTGAATGTGCATGCAATTATGTTTTGCAGCCCTAGACACTCCTCAAGAAAATCTGTATACAGGCAGTATACCTGCTATGTATGAATTTTTTAAATACGCATACATGAGTTTCAGCCCTAGATGGGCTTGGGCATTTAACCAGTAGAGAACAGGGCAAAAAGCCAGATGAAATATTAGTCTATTGTAAGCAAGCATGGCAGCTAAGGTAACACATATGGATAAATTATTATAACCGATGCGGCATAAAAAGTATCGCAAAGTGCTTTCATAAAACACGTGTAAAGGAAATTGAGTTTACTCACAGATGGGTCATTAAAAACAAGGAAGTGGAAGTTATTCTAGAAATGATTCATTGTTAATCATTAGTTCAATCCTAATTTGGGGAGGACAGACACAGCCTTAACTCCTACAAAGTCTAAGATCTGTGTTTCAACAGCACTCTAATCTTGCATATGGAATAAGCTACAGCTTCCTTACTTTTTTAACATTTGCATTATCAGTGATAATTAAGTACATTGAGTTTGTAATCTAATTTCTTATCTTACCTCAATTTCCTGATAGGAGTTGTTGATCATGGCTATTAGCATATTAAGCAGCACCACCACCATAGTCACGTTATATACTCCATAGAGTACATATCCAATATTCTCAATGAATTTATGGTCATACTTCAGCACCACAGATATCACTTCAGATAAGCCAAATATTGACCAGAATAAGGTTTTAAAACTTTCTTCTACCCTGAAAAATAAAGCAAACAATCACTTTATAGAGTTGACACCAATCAAGTCAGAATCATAGAATTGGTTGTGTTAGAAAAGACCTTAAAGATCATCCATGACAATTTACGGTATTTCATATTGCATTTACAAGTAGTAGTAAGACTGCAGTAAATATTTAGGTATCGTTCTCAGCTAGTGTAACAGCATTGACTTGTGGAGACTAACTCTGAGTGGTGTTTTGAATAGAAATTGCACAACTTCATTTAAAATGTGACTTCATCTTTGGTCTCCACAATGATCTGGGTCACTGATACCATGTTCACTCCTCCTTGTTACCTTGCATGAGGCTCAGACACTGTGCAAAGATATGGTTGTGGGATGAGCAATGACTGCATTGCAAACAAGTGCCATTGCTTGTCCCTGAGCTGGACATTTCCCCTCCTGTAACATCCTGCTCCTGTCTCCTGCCCTCACCCTCAGCAGAGGGTAGCTAGCATTGATGTGTCAGATAACCTTAATTTTTATGGTAGCAATCTGGCCAGTGCTTATTCTATAAATGTTGTGTTTTCCAGTTAAAGAACACACATATAACACCAATAATCACTGGCTTTGAAACCCACCACCTAAGTCACTTATTAAACTAATAAACCCCATAACCCCCAGCCTTGATCCCAGCTGCACCCTGATAGTAACCTTCCTTTTTTAATTTGGAAAAGTTCCTTTGGTCTTGCACCCTGCTGGCAGATTTTAATACAACATGTCAACTCTGCACCTTCTCCACAGCTTAAGTGTTAACCTTTGTTCTGGAGTGATGTCAGATTCTCCTTCCAAAGTTAATTAAGGACCGAAAGCAGCTCTGACTGCCCTGCGCACTGCAGAAGAGGAAGGCAAGGGCCAGGATGCTGGGCTCCGGGGCAAATGTCCATAGCCCTTATTCCCAGGGTTAGATGAGGGACTAGTGCTCGTGCTGGTAGGACTGGGAAGGTGGTGTGAAAGGTGGACCTGAGCTGTAACACCCCAAAATATTGCTTAGCAATGGCCCCAGGTAGATGCAGGTCTCCCTATCACAGAGGAAACATTTCTAAGGACACCTTGTGCTAGTCCATCATAAAGCCCTTCATAAAGGCTGGATGACTCTTTCCTTCTCCCTTTTAGACTAAGGTCAAATTGCAAGAGATTTAATACAGGTCACAGGGAACATCAGTTGGCATTTGGGTTTTGTTTTTGGTTTTTTTTTTTTTCTGAGAATATCTGACTAAAACACAAGATGAGGATGTTTGAAGCCAAGTTCTCAAAGATTCCAAGATGCTGCTGTGCCTCATGGTTGCCAGCTAAGCAATTTACCCCCTTCCTGCAAGGTCAGCAGGTGTTTTATCTTTCTCAAAGGCAGACAAATGAGGGAATGGAGAAAGTCAGGAGTCCTGCCCAGATTGGCAGTGCCTGGCAGCAGGAGGATCTGGCAGTGGCAGATTGACTGCTGCTCCTTGCAGAGATGGGTACGTTGCAATCTCCCTCTCTACTGTGGAAGAGCCAACTGTTTCAATGGGGAGAGAGCAGATGTTTTTTTGTTTGTTTCTGTGCACATAGTCCTGTCAAAGTTAAACAAAGATTTTACGTCGAGGATGAAAACAGACCATAGGCAATCCTCCACTTGCAGATTTTCCTTGCTTTTGTGAACGACAGTGTGCTGTTCATCAAAAAAGACCACATCAACGCTTTTCTGTGGTTTCATGTCAGTCTTGTGTCCTCCTCTTTAAGAAAGCTTAAGGCATCCTTCCAGACATATTTCCTTAAATTGATTGGTTGAGATTTAAAGCTTCCAAAAAAGCAATGCTGTCAATATAATCTACACAAATATTACATTTTGATAAAGCAGAATATGAGAGAAAAAAGCCTTCAAGACTTGAAGTAACATTGACACTGAACAGTGAGTCACATTTCCCTTTAGGGAGAGGGAGACAGAAAACCCCATGCTGTAGCCTTCAGCCTGATTTGTGATGCAGAAAGCAAGATGAATGCAATCAGTCTTCCCTCCATTTCAATTTTGTTTGCATAGCATGTTCTTAATTACAGGCTGTTTCGAGAGCTGTGTTCTGTACACAGCATACAATAAACAGATAAACATCGCTGGGGTCAGTTGCAACTGTCGTGGAAATGATCTATTTTTCAGCACTGAAGAACTTAAAAAAATTTTGGAAATATATTATGGTTAGTTACATAATCTCTGCATTTAACTGGGATATAAAGTCCCCTGCATCTTTATTTCCTTTGCATCCAGAACATTAAACTGGAAGAAATGACAGAAGATTTGCATGACAACTTAGCTTCGAGGCCACTAGGGTGCTATATGCTTGCTCTGTAGACGGCAATAAAAGAAAACAGAGCACATGATTTCAAAAGTGCAATAGCAAGGGAAGGCAAAAGTTATGCTACACCAGTCACTGATCATCATAATTAGAACTAAGCAAAAAATCCCTCTGAGTGTTGTCTTTTTTCTGCCTATGTACATTCATGGGAAGCCATCATTTTCTTAAATGTGTAATTTGAAGTTATTCCAGTGAGTGGCTGTCTGCCTAAAGTTTCTCACTGAGGGTCTCCAGTGAGCTGTCAACCCAACACCCTTTGAAACTGGCCATCATCGCTTGACACACAAATCCAATGGGTCTTTTTCTGTCCTGACTAGCCAAGTGATCTCTGAGAATCAGGTCCCATAGTTGAAAAGTCATATTTCTGAGTATAGAACTTGCTTTCTGTGAAATTTCACCAATCCTCATTAGAAGTCACAAACATGCCTACCAGGAGATGCATCCACTGAAGTCACAGAATGGTTACAAGAACATCAAAGTAAGCTTTATTTTTCTTTGCCCCAGCAAATTTTCATAGCAGTCAAGCTACTTACTCAGTCCTAACGCTAAGGTTTTCCTCCCTTTCACGAATAAGTTAATGGCAGCAGGAGCCTGCCACGTTCAGTGAGGTCCGCAGGCAGCTCACAAAAAATATAGAAGGAAATGTTGTTCAGAGCTGACAGCTGCCCATCTGCCAATATAATCTTGCCATTAGCTTATCAAAACTGTTCGAGACTGTATACCTCAGGGTTTTCAGCTTGTTGAATGAGATGTGTGAGAAGGATTTTTGGAATGAATGTTAATCTATTCTCTTTGTTTGATATGATGAAGGGGCTCATTTTCACTGATCATCATTTGACACTCCTGTGTGTTTAAATAATCAGAAGAAAGTAATTCTATTTTAAATCTCTTCCAAATTCTTAAAAGGAAAATTTATGCTCATGGACAATTTGCTTCATAACAGCATGAAGTCCCTTCAGGCTAAATAGATACCAGGCTCAAGTTAAAGAGGAAGAGCAGTGCCTTTTGATAAGACTCTCTCCGATCCAGATATCCCCTGGGCATTTAAGCAATCTTTACTCCAGTGAGCAGTCACCACTTTAGTCAATGTTTGCTCATTATTTCCATGAAAAGATAGTAACTGCTGGAAGATCCATGCTAGGTAATGAGCGCTAATGAGAGGGTTACCACATGGTGTTTCATCAGAGATGAGGATTTGTCAGTGACATGCTCTATCAACGTGCCTGGGCAACAACATAACTGAGGGTTCCTGTGCCACCAGCCAACAAATGGTGGTATGGACTCAACCTCTCATTAAGTCTTGTGCTTCAAGGACATCTCCTCTTCAAACAAAAGCAGCAAGTCACATCCCACACACTCAGTTTTCTTCCACCTTACTTCCAAGCACAGATAAACGTAATTGCATCTGGCTTATAAATCCTCCCATTAAAATGTATCCTGAGGTTACAGGAGAGTTCTAGAAGGCATATTTGGCTCAATTAGAGAAAGTAAACGGTATGTTATAAGACACATGTCGCTCAAGAGGGTGGTGTACTAAAACTGGCTCCTGTGCCTTTCTTACTTCCGAGCACAGATAAATGTAATTGCATCTGGCCTTATAAATCCTCCCATTAAAATGTATCCTGAGGTTACAGGAGAGGTCTAGAAGGCATATTTGGCTCAATTAGAGAAAGTAAACGGTATGTTATAAGACACATGTCGCTCAAGAGGGTGGTGTACTAAAACTGGCTCCTGTGCCTTTAGAAGGAAACCGCTGCTCACAGGACAGAAATGACACTGAAAAGGTCACTTCAGCTAGAGGAGCTACTAGCGAAGTCCCTGGCTTGCGGTGTGACACACTGGAGAAATGACACATCAAATGCCATCTGCTCTCTGCTGTGCAACTGGTAACTGCCATCAGCTCAGGCATTACAAGCACGGTGTTGTTGCCTGGAAGTGAGATCGTAGCAAGGAAAAACATTATGCCAAGCTTCCCTCTTCCCTCACAGACAGGCATGTGGGACTTTTCTGTAGGTACTCACGTTGTAAAAGCAGGGTTGTATTTCGCACCAAGGTAGTAAGAGTAAAGGTTGAACATTCCAATCATGAAGGCCAGGAACACCATGATGAAGATGACCATGAACTTGAAGATATCCTTCACAGTCCTCCCCAAAGAGATCTGCAGGGGGCCGAAGCTTTCGTTGGCTGGAAGAATGTAAGCAATGCGGGAGAAGCTGAGTACCACAGCTATTGCATACAGTCCTTCTGAAATGATCTGAGGATCCGAGGGAAGCCACTTGTTCCTGGCTAAAACAATACATGTACACTAGGTATTAGTAACAAAAAGTGTTAGGTGGAAGTTATGATGATAAATGACCCTTTTTCAAGACTGAATCTTGCTTTTGGCCAGGAGTTAAAGGAAAAACCAGAAAGTTTTGGAACAACTGGTCACTGAAGTCTTCATTGTGCTGTACAAATGCGTGTGAGAAGAATTCTTGTATTTTTCACATGATAAAGATGAGAAATGAGTGAGTCACTGGGATTTACAAAAGTCACACAGCAAATAAACAGTATGACTTTAAACAAATCTAGAATTTTCTGTTTCCTAGTTGAACATCAGCTGTGTGGTGCTTTTTCCATATGAAGCCCTCGAGATGGAGAACCAAAACCACAATGCGGTGGAGTTTGGCTGTAGATCTGGGTACATGATACTGTGTCAATATTTAGAAAGGAAGCGTGAGGGAGACTGAGATCTCTACCCCTACTGTTAGATAAAAAAGTTAGGATTTGTTTGGATAAAGCAGATATAACCATCAAGTGTATCATCTTCATGTTATCTTTAAATTAAACCCAATTCCTGCAGTCTAGTTACTCTAATATTTTACTTTAAAAAGCTTCTTGTTGGTACCAGATATGCATCATTGATTTAATCTACTGAAAATTTGAACATTTATATTAATATGGCTTATAAGTGTCCTTACATCAACTGAGCTCCTTGATGTAAAGATTGTGACTCAGAGCTAAAACGTGTGACATCTTTAAGGACACAGCAGTGAACTTAGGCATTATTTTCAGTAATCTGAACCAAAAAGAAACACAGCAGATGGAGGAATTCACAGGATCTGGTTGTGATACTCTGTTCTGGACCCTTTGCACCTTTGTATCATGAACTCACTTTAAATGGGTCAGCGGCAAACCAGAGAGAGGAAAAAACACATCACCTCAGAGGCCTCTTGCTTGCCTGGGCAGGGAGAGCTTATCTTTGGAGAGGACACACCAGGCAAGAGGCTGAGCTGGTGTCACCAGCTTGTGAACCCACCAATGAGTCTCAGCACCTTGGTGTAGGATCAGAGCACTTGCCTCTGGTGCCCATGGTTCATATCTCCAGTGAATGAAGTCTCCTGCCCCAGATCTCCCTCTCCAGCCCAAGTACACTGCTAGAACACCTTACAATCCTAGGGAGAAAATTGTGCTCCTTTGTGCCTAGCCCCACAGCTCCTACAATCCTTCTGTGATCAGAAGTCCCCATGGATTTTGTTTGGGGTTACATCTATAGTTCGCAGAGGCATACAATAAATCCAGTCCCCGCTCTGGGGTGCAAAGCACTAGTCATTTGTGAATATCACAGAAAAACCATTTCAGTCATCAAAAATAATGTTGTCAAGGCTATGCTGCTGCTTTCATTTCCAAATGTTAGCACTTATAGACAATACCAACTCTCCAAAAATAGCTTTTCTCTTGGAGAAGCAGCAGCTTATTTGGTATAATTGGTGTTTGTATTTCTATTATACAGGTGTTGGATGTAACAGAGGCGCAGAACGCACCAACAGTTAGAAATGCAACTCCAGATCCTATGTTTGTTCACACATCTCCCTCTCTCCTACATTTGGGAAACCAGGCAGGTTTATTAACCTGTTATTTAAATTATCTTCCCCATGCTCTCCTTTCCTGATTATTTGTTGCTCAGGCTACTCTCAGGATATGATTGACCTGAATGTAGCCTTAGCACAAGATCAGAGACTGAATAAGGCTCAGATCTCAATTCCTTTCTGACTCTTTAGGAAGATGGTTGGAATAGGTAAATCTGAGAAGAATAACTTGGCTTAATTAGAAAAAGACCCACATAAATAACAAAAAAAAAAGCTGCTTTCAGCACCGCCACACATTTAGCCTAAAAGAAACAGTAGATGGCAAAAAGCTTCTTACCATAAGTAAAGTAAGCAACTTCAGGGGGAAGGGTGACATTATTGAGGTCATCATCTTGAACGTACTGATCTACGTACTGTTGTGCTTCAGTCGCTTTGAGAAAAGCCATGAACCTGGCGGTGAAGGATGCCACAAAGATGGACAGCATCCCAAAGTCCAGCAGGTTCCACAGATGCACCACGTATTCACGGGGCCCCTCTTCCCAGATCTCCTTGCACTCTGACCATATCATGCCTGTGGAAAAGCCAAAGCAAGTTTTACTGGCAAACTCAGAAGGTGCTTTTTTTTTGTATTCGGATAGACCTGTTTCCTGACTAGCGGTGCTTTCTAAGACCAAAGCAAACAACTCTTCTATTAAACTGAATTTCTTGAGAATGGTTCACATCAACTTCCCTTAGAAATTATTAAAGACTTATTATAAATTATAAAATAATAAAAATACAATAAAGTTATAAAGCTTACATATATGAGGTAGGAATTTAAAAATTTCATTATATGAATCAATAGTTTATTAGATTTCTAGTGAGAAAGCACAGTTCAGAAACACTGAAGACATTAAAAAATATTGTTGCTGATCTATTTGGAAAAAAAATGTAGATTTCCTCTCCTGTCCGTTTTGAGAATAGAAACGGATCTCCACAAGGGAAAATCTGATCCAGGAATAAATACAGTATGATTAGAGAAAAGGTAAGACAGTTGCTCTGCACTTGCAGTACTTTCCATAAAGTCTTACATTTTAAATAGTAATGAATTTCCATACATTAAAGTCTGATTTACCACTTTGCAAACACCAAATCTAGCCTGAATTTAAGATCTTTCTGACACTAGATTAACAGAATCTAAACCCAGAAGATTCAGATTTTGACACCCACGTTCTACTGGGGAGCGCTGAGGAGGACAGGTGAGTTCAGTGTCAAACTATCTCAGGTCAGATTCAACAACTTGTCTGACTTCCAATGACAGCAGGACTATGGGGCTGAATTTTTGCTTCTGAATAGCTACGGTATTGGAATATTTAACTTACTGATAAATATTTCCTGCACTCTACCCAATCCTGTTTCTGTAGCAGCAGCAGCAGCAGAATTCACATTTAATCAAGCAGGAGCAGTGCCTGCCAATTTCCACGTGACCTCCTGCAACCTTGTCCTTGTTGTGAACTCTTCTTCACCCTCTTTACTGGAAGCTCTCCTGGTGTAGCATGCAAATACTTTTGCCTGGCTACCTCAGAGACTCTTGGAAGCACATTGATGTCCCAAGATGGGCAGTTGGAGGTTGGGTTATAAGTGAAGAAACAGATCAGTGTGAATCTATTCCGAGGGTGGAGAAGTGAAGAACTGATGCCATCAGTCCTTGTGCATGGGGAAGGATTTGAGAGAAAAAGGAAAGCTAAGCCATCCATACCACCATTAGCCAAGGCACACCCAGACTGTGATGTCCATAGTCCCGGAATCTCCAGGAGGGTCCTTGGAGATGGACCCTGTTATAGATTATGCCCTGTATAGATCTGTCCTAGGAGGGAGCCTGAGGTCTACTGAGTGGAGGAAGTGGGAGTGCAGGAAAGGAGCCTCAAATCCACATGTACTTGTCTGAGTAAAAGCAGGAACTTCATCCCACGGTCTCATTCACCATGAGTAAGATATAATAATAAATAGGCAAAGGGTGAAGGTGGAAGAATTGGTTTCTCAGGAACTGTCCGGGAGTGAGGATGAAATACTAAAGAAACATTTCTAGTTTCTAAAAAATTACCCCAAAAACCAAAAGCATCCCAGAAGTGATAGACAGGAGACATTAGCCCTACACGTTATGCATGCATGTCTTATAAAGCACTTGAGGGAATATCATATGTGTCGTATCCTTGCCCGCAAAAGCACTTGATCCTTGATGCCCTGAAATGCCTTTTCTAGTTTAAATATTAACTCTCCCATCCAAATTTCCTTCTAATCTCGGTCACTTAATATGCTTAAGTCACAGATTAATGAGGTAAGAAATGTCTAAAACTGAGCAGACTGAGTAAAATTAGAATCACTCCGTGAAAGTATCACACTGTTGGCCTATAATTTACATCACTCTTTTTTTGCCAACTGTGTGGCTATCATTTTCTATCTATACATATGGAAAAATGTCTATTCAGGACAAGAAGAAAAGTTACAGGAATTATTCAGTTGGTACTGCTGGGTAATTTTATGTCCATTGTGAGAGAGTAATTCAAAGCCTCTCCCGAAGTAAAAATACTGAGAAGAGATAAAGCAGCTAAAATTCATGGGGTGGGATGTAATAAATAAGGAAAAGCAATAAGGCAGAGCAGATTTGCCAGGATGTGATTGCATTTCAATAAGGTGTTTCTGAGGTGCCCCTTAATGACTCTGGGAGAAGTAATTTCCCCAAGTTTCATGCAAAGAGAGGTGGGACATGAGCAGCTTCTGCTTTCCAGCTTCTGCACGTCTCTTGTGCCTGTTCTTCCACAGCACGGATAATCAGAAAAGTCACCTAGATGGACATTTCTGGTTTCAGCGGGGGAAGAAACATCAAGTTAAAGGCACAGCCCATCCAGAAATGAAATGGAAGCATGCAAGAAGTGCTTGCATGTGCACAAAAGGAACAGTTCGTCAGATTTTTATATCCATGGGCCTGGTACATAAATCACAAGCAGCTGATGTTGCCAAACTGTCATTGAGCTTTCCAGGATCTGCCAAAGGCTGTTGGATTAAGAGAGAGATTTGTCCTCAGATTGCACCCACCCAGAGTTTATCTGCTACCTTGGCTACTTTCAGTGGGGATTTTGTCTCTCTAAATGAAACCTCCCTGCTTCCAGTGCATTTTTTGTCCATAAAGGTCATGAAGAAAGTTCCTGCCTTCCTCAGTTGAAGGCAAGAGCCAGGAAGACCTGGCCGCAGGGGAAGAGGTAGCCAAGGCACACAGCAAGCCACATATGAGCAAGCTGACATTGGTATGTCCCAAGGGACAAAGTGACAAGCTCTCCTCTCAGAGCACCACGATGTTTTTCCACAGTAACAGGTCTGTAACCTGCAGCCCTTGGATGCTCACTCATAAGAAAGAGGACTGAGACCAAAAAGGCATTCTCCCACTTAAAACGCTATCTGGCTGTTCATGGAGAGGTTAAATGGGCTGCTAAGACAATCTGGCTGATCCAGCTATGCTCTGCAGCCATTTCAGAGGTGCAGGCTAATGGAAAGTAAAGCCTCAGATATGGATTTGTGGAGCAGGATGAAGAGCTCCTCTGGTTGAAAGACATTGCCTCTGCTCAGACTACTCCATTATTTGCCTGCATTACAAATAGTCAGGAGTAAGAGATGACAACAGTATCTTTTTGCATAATTCCAGTCTGAAATTCTCCTAGTGGTAGTTTTCTCTTAAAATATACATACATGTGGATCAATTTTCTTATCTCCAGCAAGATTAATTGCACGAACTGCTCTCATAGGTCGTGCTCACTCATGGCCACACTATGTTCTGCTAATGCATCACATTATTCTCAAATAACGCTATTCTGAACTTGTGTCATAAATTTTACGGTTGACAGACAGCCAATTTTCTCCCTGAAAAAGGATCAAGATCAGGGACCTGTAAACTAATTTCTCAGAAATGGTCTGCTGTGGTTGGAACAAGTAGTGTGTTATCAGCATTCGTCATTGCTGCCACAGTATGAAGGAGAAAAAATAGAAACAGAAGGAGGGGCCTTACAAGCTGAGAATAAATAAATTTACACTTTTTTATTGTACTATGAATTGAAATGTAGGTAGCACACCTACACTATTGAGTCTGAAGACAGCAACTGCAGGTGTTGCCAAGTAGGATTAAATATAGCTATGTATATTTAGTACACTAGAGTTAGATTTATTATAATTTAACATATATTTACTGTCTACTTGCACTTGCCTCTTTGGAAAAGCATGTCTTGGCAACTTTACCTGTGATATTTATCTGTAACATTTAATTCTATGTCATTATATTTCTGCTTACATATACATATTTATAATATCTATAAGATTTTTATGCCAGAAGGCTGGGCAGTCTACCGCCCTTAGTGATTTTACAGATCTTAAAGTTCAGGGTCATACACAGGGCTCCACAAGGGTCCAAGATCCCGTGCCAGCTGTCTGCAGGCCACGTGCACCAAACTTTCCCCTTAATATTGCTGGAACATTATTTGAAGCTTTATGTAGGCAGACAGGTAAAATGGCCAGAGTAGATTGTCAGTGCTGATGTAGGCAGACATTAGAAAATCTCATTATATTCAGGAGTCTGTACAATGAATCACCTTTCCTCTCCCAGAAAAGTGAAAACCTTTGCTTTAAATGAAATGTTTTCTTCTTCATCTCTCAGGAACTCACCAGGCAGACAGATACCTACCGCCTATAAGAAAAGAATACCTAGTCTAAAATCTAATCATCTTGTCCAACTGCTTTAATATCATTTTAAAAATATATCTTACAGACTTACTCTATCTATTCTAGCATCTATTCAGTATTTTCTAGCCTAATATCCTGTATGGGATTCTGATTATTGTGGGGACAAGGAACAAAGAAATGGCGGCCAGGAAGTCATCAGATAGAGCAGCCCTATCCTATTTTTCAGGGGGCTTTAATGCTATCAGTACTTATGGAACAGTGGAATTATTTGCTGCAAGAAAAGAATCAAAATCATGGTGGTGAGCAAAAATAGATACAGAAGAGGTAGACAAAGATTCTGCACAGCTCAATTTCTCAATAAATCCTTCTGAGTTTGTTTAGATTAGTGGTTCAAGGTAGCTAACCTTCAAGGAATAAATTATATCTGTAGGAAAATTGATACATCTGAATTTGCCTAAAACTCCCTGGGTGTTTAACTTTTGCATGTGAGATGCTTTTGCACTTGAAGCGTTCATCCACATGAATCTCTACTTTACAGTTTTTGGATAACTTAATGTATTTTAGAAGATCTGAGTGCTATGCTGTCCTCTCATCATTTAGAATTTCATACTATGAATTTCATAAAATCCAGCTCTTACTTACCTGGCAGTTTTCATCAGTGCATATCAGAATGCATTGCAAAAACTAAATGACAACATAACCGTTTTGCAGATGAAGAACCTGAGGTTCATTGAATTATAACAGGATCTTATGGCAGGGTAATAAAACAGGCTGGTGGTCACCCATGTCCACACAACTTGTTCTCCTTACTTTAGATAGAGCAATGTCCTATAGTGAAGCTACAAGTTTCTTTGACTATATAACCTTCTTTAAGATGCAATGATGAAAGCAACAGAGGCAAACAGACAACATCTATAGCATTCACCATGGAAAGTGGAAAATCAGAAAAGTGAGAATTTGCTAAGCATCGTTCAATATTTTCAAAAGTAGTGACCAAGATCAAAGTCTCCTTTGATCCTATTTTAATCAAAATATTGTCCTTAACCTCTCATTTAACCTCCTAGTAGGTTTTTCATGGTTTGCTTTGGAGGGAGGGGGTTTTTTTTGATTTGTTTTTAAAAAAAATCTTTGTCTTGCCCCTGTCTGTCATGCTGTTCCCAGTCATTTTGAATTCTCCTGGAGGATCTGCAGACATTTTGGTTTTGCTTACCCAATACCCACTTCATGATCAGCAATTCTGTCCACGAGAACTGAGTTGTTTTGACTCTAAATATTTGTTTTGGATGATCCGTGATGGTCTCATTGGGAAGGTTTTTTACTCCTTCGAACCGATCTGAAGCATTCACTACTAACAGTCCAAGGAAGATTGTGAAAGAAACTGCGTGTGCCACAAACTTCATGAAAGGACTTCGCAGGGTACGTCCCAACTGCAATGAAACATAGAAAAAAGATTTTTTTTTTTCCCTTATCCACCTACTGGAAGTTTTTTTACTATGAAAATTTGAACCATTTTCCCAAGATGAAAATAATTCTTTGAAAAGATTTAGACTAGATATAAGGGAGAAATTCTTTTCTGTGGGAGTGGTGAGGCACTGGCACAGTTGCCCAGAGAAGCTGTGGCAGCCCCCTCCCTGGAAGCGTTCAAGGCCAGGTTGGACAGGACTTTGAGCAACCTGGTCCAGTGGAAAGTGTCCCTGCCCATGGCAGGGGAGTTGGAACGAGATGCTTTCTTTAAGACCCTTCCAACACAAACCATTCTACGATTCTATGATTACTAGACATTATGCATTGCAGTTCAAATGATGCACTTGGGATAATTTTCTACGCATGGTAGTATCTCACATTGCTTCTCTATACCCACATATAATATCTAAATGTTCTGGCCATATGGTAAGTGGAAAATGAAGAGACGAGACATATGAGAGATATGTTTGTGTGTATGTGCTATATGAATGCACTCGTGTGTGTCAATATAAATCCTAACGACAGGCCCACTTCTCACCCTTACTCTGTTATATATTGGAATCTTTTATTAATGCTGAATTCTTGATTCATTAACGATGTGTAGGAAATAACCTTCTGTTTAAAAATTCTTTAGTAATGTTTTTAATATGTTTTGGTATGATAGTCTTCTCTCATAATTACTACAAATCTGGAGATTCACTCCCCAGAACATGAGGATTTATTTCAAGACATTAAGCAGAGAATCAGAGCAGCAGCAGATCTCTTCACTCTAGATAATATTTGTTCTGTTCTTTTTGAAAAGCTTTCTATGTTAATTCGTTGGCACTTTTTTCATTTTACATTTTCTGTGCCCTAAGAAAACAGTACTCCAGAAAGACATCAGAGTGAAAGCATTTTTAGGAGCGCAAGAACCGATGCCTGTGGTGTTGGACACACCAGACAACAATGGAAGTGCCTTCCTGCATGTGTCCTTTCCAAAACTCCTCAGAGCAATTTTTTTTTTTTCAATATATTAATCGCTGATTCATCTCCCCTGAGATGAATCCTCTGCTGTAAACCTGGCTGTAGTGTTAATTCTCATCAGCTTGTATGGCAGCTGTTGGGTAGATTTATTCTTTATATCAGAACTTATACTTCCAGTAGAGAGCTGATGGGGTGGTGAGATACGTTTGAACAATGCCCCATACAGTAATAATCTTAGATGTGTTCCTTGTATGACCTGTCTGAGAGAGCTCAAACTGCAAGAGTAAAGTGGAACAACTACTATGGGCGTAAGGGGCCTTACCAACAAAATTTTAAGAAAGTGCATTTGCAATCTGTACAAGACTCATTTCTACTCTGAACTCACTAAAAGAGAAAAACACTGTCTATTGAACCAGGATTTCTCTTCAGACAATTACACTTTTTCTGCTGTCTGTAGAAACTTAAAAAACCCAACCCAATCAGACCTGAGATTAGGGTAGCACATCCTTGGTTATGAGAGAAATAATCCCATGTATTACACAATGAAATGAATTCCGTAGGTATTTTTACTTAGTTCTCTACTGACTTAACAAAATCTGTGTTTAGTCAGTGTTACATCAGCATTTTATCCCCTTTATTACTGTGGAAGGCTTACAATCTTTTTCTTGAGCTGATGTTTCTCATCTCAGAAATATGATTTTTAGCTGAGCTGCAGGTGGTGAAGGTGTTGACTAGAATATTCTGTAAAAAATCAATGAAGCCTCAAATCCTCCAGTCACCCTAATGCTTTATGACAATAAGATATATTTTTCAAGCAACATGATACAGTTAAACTCAAGGTGTGTAACTACTTGGATGTATCAATTTCTCAATTACACTTTTAAATCAAAATATCATCCTTCATCAAATCAGGATTGCAGGGAAGTGCCTGGCTGTCACTCTTAAAACAGAAACACTGACAATGTGTGAATACAAAGGTTCATTCTTAAGAGAATAGCTCATTTCATGACATAGTACCCTACCTGGTTTGCAGGAGAGTAATGAAGCACGCAGACATGGAAAAAAAGAAAAAATATAAAATGTGATATTGAAGCAAAGGTTTCCAAATGCAAATCGATCACTACTCCGAAAGACAGAAACAACATAAAGATAGAAACATCATGAAGAAAAAAGACATTACTGTTTTTAGTACCATGCTCATAGCAGAAACATGGAGAATATTGTTGTAGAAACTTTATGTAACTTGACTGGGGAGGAAAATATCCAGAGTAAAAAGGTACAGGTACAGATTTAGGTGAAGTGAACCGTTAATGTTTTAGTGCTTAAATGATGCTGAGTCTATTGCAGCAGGAACTACAGCCCATAAATCCCCAGCATGGCTACGTGAAAGCCAGAGAACAAGCCAGGCAGTGAGAGCTGTGTATAAATGGTCTCTGTTTGCTTTCTGATAGTTGAATGAGTACTCCAACAGACCAGAGAAGGAAGCAAATACTTCTTGAAGTTCTACAGACAGTCCAAACATTCCTGC